AACCTTTCCACCTTTCCAGTACGCTGCAGCGCGCAGAGAATACGCAGCTTGCAGCGCTTCTGTCCTTCAATCTCTTTTGTTGTTTAAGTATTTTCCACATTTTTTTCCTCGTAGTTTTCATTCTAGGCAGTTACGTGTTCTCTTGTTTACCTAAAATCATCGCTGCGGGCAAGGTTTGAAGGCATATTGAAGTCACCATTGCAACATGAAGGCATTTCCTTCATGTTGCAATGGTGACTACGCCAATGTTTGAGAGGGTACTATTCAGTGTGTAATTATTTTTCATTTTTATAACCAATGAAGTTATTATTTCAGCACTCCTGCATCAAGGACACAAGTTGTACTAGAATCATTTGAGTGGTCACATCTAAGGAAAAGGCATAACAGCCATCATTGCTTATGAAAAAAAGCTCACCCTCTTCCCCAATTATACCCGGGGCGATGGTCCACGATTATAATGATCTGGCAGATAGAAAGGAAGGATTACAAAAATGTGCCAGAACTCTTTTTCTGGCTTTTCAGTAACCATCACAGAGCTTGTTAAATCTGATCATAGAAAGATCTCCAAAGAAGTCGAGGATAGTATCTGAAATGAAAACTGAGAAGAAAAAAACGGTGCGAATTGCTTGATCAACACTAGAGGTCTAAGGACACGAATGCTGCGAGCTGAAAATTCCCCGCGCGCTGCAGCGCACTGTAAGGCTGAAAAGGCTGCAAAAAGGCAAGATGGTGTGAATGCACGAAACGGGGCGATCGTCGACAGATATCCTTTATGAAGAAGAAGCAGTCGCGTGCGAAAAGGGCGGGGGGGGTCCTTTTTAGAGGTCATATGTGAACATTCTTGCTTAACTCTGGTTAACCGCTTCAAAAATAAAGCGAAGGACAAGTTCGAATCAACGCAATGTTCGCAAAGCGTTCTCGTGCTTCTTAAGATGACATTCGCTGCTGTCGTTGTGAATTTTTTGGTTAGTGTCGGCCAACGCCCTATTTAAAAATTTTTGGGTCTCGAGTCGTTTGTCAAAAAGCATCCAGAAAATTCTAGAGCTTGGTTGATGCCAATCATCTGCAAATTTTCGTGCCCCACCCCTCTTCCCCCGAAAAACTCACTCCAACATAACAAAGTGTCTAACAGGGGAAGGATCGAAGTTGTCTTTCCAGTTGAGATGTGTATGGTCTTGAAGGGCATCGAGCGCTGATTTTACAGCCGTATTCCTTGTCTGCGTAGCGCCTCTGGGTTACGAGTTAGAGCATTTCATGAGACAAAAATTGGAAGCTTGATCAGAATAATATAGTGGTGGTACCCTTTTAACTCGCGCATGAAAATGGCGAGCAACAGAAGTTGCAAGACACTTTTTTGTCAGAGAAGTTTAGCAGTCACCGATGTTCTTTTTCAGTTCACGAGAGACTTCTATAAACGACTTTCTTCTAACTACTAGAAGTGTTTATGAGGCTGGGTATCGCTTCTCGGAATTGGTCCTATCTGATAGAGTTGAGTTCTTATGCTGACAAAATAAACTTCAGCATTCGGATGAGTAATATTGACGACACTAGATGATGTCGACAGATGGGCTAACGAGTTGCTCAGTTTGCACTCAAGTCGTCATTCTGAAAGATAAATTAAATAGTTTTTCACTCTTCCTAGATCTTACAAGCATGCTAATCGGGTCAACTATAGGCGCCTAACGGGCACTTGCAGGATGTGCCGCGGTCACTTATCGGGTCTAATATATGGGTTTACCGGGCAGCTCGCGGCATGGATGATTGGTGGTCGGACAAGCACCCGCGAACTTCCCGATGCAATTGTCTGAGTATGTGGCCACGCCCCCGAAACAATTTTTTTTACAAGGCTAATTTGAATTTTTAAAAATTTTTAAAAATCATTTTAATTATTTACAAGTATAAACAAGTCATTTGCATATTTTTATAACCCTTATAAGTAGCTTTCAAAAATTTCGCGACCCATTCTCGGGGGGGGGCGCCCCCCCCCCTCGGTACGCCACTGAGACAGACATACAAACAGATATTCAGCTTTAGAGGGTGTCCCAAAAGTCTTGTAGCCTAATATTGCACTGCTTTAACTCAACAATCACTGGTGATTTTGATCTCAAATTTATACCACAGAATCCTCCAATCATTCTTCGTAAACTACATCCTTGGGGGCAAAAAATGATCTTCATGTTTGACTGAAAAAAATAAAATTATCAAACGATTCTACCTCAAAACGCAAAAAGCTATTTCCTAAAAGTTTGAAATTTATTCCGCTATTGCAAAAATTTGCCACACCCCGGTGCATTTATATCCACATATAGAGGAGGCTTTGCACTATAACTATAATGGCTGCATTTGAAAATCTATTTCGTCAAGAGAGGCGAGAAAGTACCTGGAAATTTTCAGTGCGTGCCACGCAACTATGTCTTTGAAATTAGTTTCAAATCTGTAAAATTGCAGCAGTCACTGAATTTGGAGTAATATCCTCTTCGCATGTTTTCTAGATGGGAATCTAATGCAACACGGATGACGAACTTGGTTTTGAAACACATTGTAGCCGATTTTCTGTTTTCATTTTCCGCAAATGTGTCCAAAACTCCACCATGAGATCTACACTTGCCTGCATTCAAATTTTCGTCATTTTAACCATAAAACTCTCAAATTTTTCTAATCATGGTATGATGTAGCTGAAAGCTTGCTCTATCACACAGCACATTTTCTGAGCGATAGGATTTATTTTTTTGAAAATTGGGACAAAATTGATGATGACTGCCTGCGTGCCTCGGCAGTGGTAATCGCCAACATTTTGAAGGCTTCCGTTATCAAGGAAAGATGCTACCACGAAATTCGAATGCTGTGATGTATTTTATTTATTTATTTATTTATTTATTGATACACTGTTGTGCACAGTGCGCCAGTACTAAGACACGAACGCAACGACAGACAAAAACAGTAATGAAACGAAATTGTAACATGCTCAACACCCTAGAGAAATTGAGGAGAGTAATTCTCTAAACTAGGTGCTCGTCAGTGTTGTCTTCAAAGTCAGAAAGTCAGTGTCGTGGGGACTAAACTTGGTATAAGTACAAGTCCAAGTACGATGCGTGACGGTATATAAATATACGGTCACTTTCGAGCGAAGAAAGAGGGATAAGCACCTAGGCGAATGAGCGAAATCATGCGTACCCGGCGGGCAGGAGACCTCTGCTAACTTTTGAACAATATGTACACCAAATTTTATACCCCCTATGTTGTTCCGCTCTGTTTTTGTCAGAAAAATACTAGGCTACAAGACTTTTGGGACACCCTGTATATATAAGATGTAAGTAACTTTTGAAAATTTCGTGACCCGTTCTCCGGAGGGGGGGGGGGGGGGCTCGGTACGCCACTGGTAGAGAGCTGCGACCGACAACCGTTATTGATTTTTTGCAACTTATTGTCAGTTGCCTAAATAATCTCATATTGCTAACACCAGCACACATAGAATGGGTTGCAAAGCACTATTATAGTCGTCCTCACCCCACTAGTCGGTCGGTGGACGAATTCGAATTCGAACTGGAGCAGGCAGGTCGCGGCAGAGCACGGCACCTTAGCTCTCCGTTCAAATTCACGCATTCACTTTGCGTATTTCTTTGCCATTGCTTAGCAGTTTTTGTTTTGTTACAAGGTTTTTGAACCTATGTTGAGTTTTTGTAATTGCTGAGCGTTGTCTCCTGCCGCGCTCTGCCGTGACAGGCCTGCTCCATTTCAAATTTGAATTCGTCCACTGACCGACTAGTGGGGTGAGGGCGACTATAGTAAGAAAATTGTCAAAAGCGATCTGTAGCGATAAGTAGTGGAAAGCTGCTTTATGCCAGTACGAGCAGGCATCCCGGGTTTCACTCCAGTCTGGAGCCAACCTATCAGTTTAAACTTCCCATCCTGCACACCCTGCACACTCTGCACACCCTGCACATCCTGCACATCCTACACACCCTGCACCCCCTGCACTACTGGGAATGTGCACAAACAAACTCACAGATTTTCTGCTTTATATATAAGAGATTATTGCCCTCTGAAGTTGATGGTGACAATTGCCACCACCAATTCCGAAAGGGTTAAACAAGTGGGTAGAATCACTGGGGACGGAGGCCATCGTTATTTGTTACTAAAGGCAGCATCCACTCAAAATTTCGACTCTCATACTTTTATTGTATTCGAGCAATGGCTTTGATTTTGAATATGAGGTGCAAATTGGGAAAGGCCTCAATCTTGCCTTTTTTAAAGCTCTATTTTGGAAGAGTGGTCGAGTGTTCCTGCACTAGTCAAGTCGTATGCAACAGGAAACCTTGTTGTATGCAACAGTGCCACATCACACACTATGCGTTTTGACTTTGCTTGCCATGTCAGAGCCGTCACCGGCAATCCGTGGGTGGGTGGAGCCCCGAGAAGGGGGCGGAGCGCCGGAGAATCGAGCGCTGCAGGTCCGTTTTCCCTTCTTGGAGACAGCATCAGAAGACCGGACCAACTCGGTTGGTGTTCCAGGGCCTACACATACACTTCATAGTTATCTGAATATCGTCGATTTTGGGTGAACGCTGCCTTTGAGTACAAATTCCATAAAATCTGTCCCTGTGAGTACGTAATTAAGTGTTTATTATAATTTGGAGCATGTGGAGTCATAACGCTTATGAAAGTGAGATGTGGTTCGGGTCATAATCCCATGCTTTAGAATTTTTGCATACATTTCCAGAGAAAACATTGATAATGCTCGTGCTTACCAAAATTTTTTAGAGATCGATGTCCTCTCTTTTGTAGTGTCCAAAGATGTACCCTATTTGGTGCTTACATCAATACAAAAACTTCGTCGAATTGCAATGTCCGAAAACTTCCGCGCCAAACATAGTAGGTCTCCTTCGGTGTTGGCTCAACTCGTTCAGTAGTCATGAAAAGCTTCTTTCTATTTTGAAATCTCCTAATAACCACATACAGATTAGCATTTGATTTTATTGAATCAAAATGTGAGTAGAAACTTAATGAAAATTATATAAGTCTACAGTACTTTCTTCAGCATTGACTACATTGCTTCCTGATGTAGGCGCTGCAGTTCTACTATCGAAAGCAGCGGCTTTGCATTCTTCCGCAGGTTCGTTCTTATCTCCTTCTAGTGCTGTGTTAAACTCTTCGTCTCCAATCCTCTCTCCGACATGCTGCCGCCTTTCGTCACTCGAAGGAGGCCATAGGATAGGTTCGAAGGAGGGTGCATCCAGATTGGTGTCGTCAAGCTAGAAAATCACATCATTTTCAGGTCTAGAAAGTGTACAGTCCGCCTCAGTTGCACTGTCCCTTTCAGAAGCGACTAGCATCTGCAGCGCGCTAAAGCTTGCTTGCTAACCTTCCATCCAGGCAGGGCTATCTCGAATTCTAGCCTTTTTGGAAACAAAATCCCATCTGTCTTTCATTAACGCGAAATCTCTCTGATGCATAGTGCATACACAAGAAGATACATTTTAACAAAAATGCAAGTTGCAATGAATCTTCAACTTGCTTGTAACGTTTTATCGGAAGAATCTTGAGTGAAATTGGAAAATGGGCAGTTTAAATGTGTACGAAAAGAGAAAGGAAAAGAGAAGAAGAAGAAAAAGAATAAGAAGAAGAAAGACAACAAAGAGACAAAAGGTTGGTACAAAGGGGAGGCAAAAATAGGAGTCGTCTTCTTGCTTACGAATAGATTTTTGACGGAAGAAGCAGTTTATGATAAACTCATGAATTATGTGAGTTACTCCATAGGATTTGCTCTAAGACGGTTCAGTCGTCTTGGACGTCTAAATAACTAGTTTTGAAAAAGTATTTCGGTGACAGAAGTTCTCGAAACTTCCTAAAAATTACTTTTGCAAATAATGTCTGTTTATATAGAACTAAAAAAGTATAAAAGCATTCATTGATGATTATGTATGTCTTTGAAAGACTCTTTCTGCATGAACCGATTGAGCTGAAACTCACACATATATTTTCGAAGAAGAAGAGCATAAGCTACTTTTTGTGCCGATTCGTTGGGTTCTTCTATCGATTGATTGACTTTTGGCACCATGCGATGAAAATGAGTTTTTATCAAGCACTAACACATCATTTTCATGGTTTTGCGCCAACACTAGCAAGCTAATTTGATTTCGTAGTGGGAAGGATGAGATGTCAAGGCGTCATATTGCAGGTAAATCTGTGCTTGTGCAGAGTTCCCACTAGGGGTTTTGATAGAGGTAACGAAGGAGATTTGGAAGGGCTGAGAGGAATGAGTATAGAAGATCAAGTTTGATCCCACAAACTCATTCACATGCCACCCGCGACAGCCTATTTGAGATCGTTGCCTGGATAAGCCCGGGAATGTCAGCTAGTGATCAATATCAGTGGTCCAAATTTGATGTCACGCGCTTGTCTCTGCGGTGCCCTTAAACCATTTGCTTGTTTTGAGCCTGTATTCAAATTGCACGCTTTGTGAAACAACACGGCAAGCATGTCAGTCGTGTACTAACTTGTTTTGAAGTGCGTGTTAGTCTGAGTAAGCGCTAAGATGTCTACGTGGCACGTTTCTTCTACGATATTTCCTTTTTGCCCCAAAACTTCACCTGCTCCCATGACTTCTGCAATGGGCCCTGCTCCTGTCGGTGAGACCGAGCCGACAGCTCAAGGCAGAAGCCGTCCATGCGAATTAGAATGCGGATATGCTGGACGCATGGGATCTATGGCTGAGAGAGATTGAAACATGTGAGATACACTAACCCCGTCATCTGTGCAGTATGTAATTCCTACTTGCGTTTCTTTCGTTTCTTCGTCACCTTGAGTTGATTTGGTACGACCGCCTAACTTCTTGAACTGAAAGGCTTTTGTAAAATTGAAGAACTGCAAACTGGAATGAGTGTAACCTTGTCTGATTTCGGCGTTTTCCGCTTCGCCTTGGCCCTTAATTATGCCAATTAATCCAGCTCTCCTGCCCTTCCACTAGGTAACTTACGTTTCCTGAGCCTTCTTGTGATGCTTGCGCTTTCTGGGGCCATGTCGCTTTACCTTCTTCCGTTTTTTGTGAGTGTTCTTCACTACCTAACGAAGCCGGAGCTGCTTATATCAGTCATTTTCCACTCACCATAAGTTCTCTTTCGCTGCGAAGATTGGCTGATATACTTTTTACTGAACTTTTGCTTAGATCTTTATTTTGCCATCTTCCCCTAGCCTGTAATCACGCTAGATATTCTTTGCGTTTTTTGACTGCACAAAACCTACCCGTTCTCTTTTATCATTGCTTCCTCTTGCATTCGCGCACATCGAACAATAATGCAAAGTTAAGAACACGCTTGCTGAAATACAAGTTTCAGTTGCTCTCATTTTGTTCTTCAGTATTCACTATAAATTATAAATTCACCTCCCATTTCTACTGCACAAAGTACTCCAGTTAAAGGCGTAATGTTTGTAAGGTTAACAGGTAATTCTGAAAAACTATCCCTGGGAAAGTACAGATTTGAAGAAACTTATTTAGTAGGAAGGTGATCCAGCAAGAGCCGGCGTTGAGATAAGCAGCGCTTTCCGTTAGAGAGTAGATACATGCCTTCCATATGAAATGACCACATCTTAAGCACACAACTAACAAATAGAGGAATCATTCTTTCGAGCCATCTTGTTTACTTCAAGCAATGATCTGATGAGATAGTACTAGCTGAGTAAAACATCGGGTAAGGTTGGTGATTCGCAGGCTAGTTTGTGGTATCTGGATCTTTACAGTCGTTGTATTTGTTGAAAACTTCGTTTGTAAAGGTTTTTGGGCATTTATTTTGCGCAGTTTTCAGGGTTTTCTACACGGTGCGCAAAAATTGCTTTACAGCAGTGCCAATTATTTATAGTTCTGATTTCATATTACAGAATGCTGCAATCATACTTTACAAAATGCTGTTTCATGCGCCCAAGGCGATCGCCATACATATTTGCAAGAACTGGGATTGTCATATTGGTGCTAAAGCAGCTCTTCGTTGTTTACAATTTATTCCGTAACTTTGGATAACATATTCTTGCAACGCTCTGAAGCGGCTTTATGCTTACAGCAGAGGCACCAACTTTTTTTTAGAAATGGCGAAAAAATTTTGCAATTGTCACCTGCGCGCCAGTTCCGTTTTTGTCTCTAAAATACATTTGAGAGCTTGAAACCTAGCAGACACAAGATTCAAGCTATGCTTACATAAAGCTTACATACACATCTAACTCATTGTGTTAATAAAGTGAGCTTCAAACATGTAATGTCAGTTTTCTGTTTTTTGCCCATTTGCACCCCCCCCCTCCCCCCTCCTCCCCCCGTTTTGCACGGTTTTTCAGCAGGCGGCATACACACGCTTTTTGTCAAATTCTGGCGAAATTCTTAGCTTTTTGCTTTATAATATGTTATAGCCAAAAAAATTGCTCCACCACGCGCACGATCTCAAATGTCATGGGCAATCGCGGACGCGAAACGAAGTTGTGAAGTTACCGAGTTAGTTCAGTTAAGTTAAGCTATCTGAGCTAGTTCTGAAGCCGCCTAGTTCTTTAGCTCATGCTGAGCTCGTCTCGTCTCACGAGTTTTGCACTGCATGATACAGCGTTAATAATTTTGGCAGCGCTTGTATTGTCAGGTTAAAAACAAGCTTAAACTAACAAAAAGTTTTACGGAAAATAGCTGTCATCTTCTGTACTGGGGCCCGCACGTCACGTGAGGACGGGCCATCTTATCTAAGCATCTAAGTAAGTAAGTAAGCTCTCATCTGGGCTACGCCTAACCAATTGCTCAGTTTGAATAAAAGGGACACGCCGCGATCTTATCTAAAAATTACATCTGTGTTCAAACATAAATTGACTGTTATCCTCAAAGTTGACAGATTTGTGTAGTAATCTGGCACTATAGATGCAGAATGTAAGGCAGTCCCTGCGTCGATTTGCTAGGACTATTTTGCTTTGCATCAAAGGCAGCGGTTCGGAGAAACGCACCTCTCGGAATTTTGATAGGTAGGTTGCTTACTCCCATTCATGAAAGTAGCGCAATTTCTAGCGCACAGCATTCTGCCCTTGTTAAAAACTGTCCCTGAACCTGTTGGCGCAAGCCATTCTTATACGCGCTCGGACGGACTCGCGATTACCCTTCCACTATTGGAGGTGGCATGTCGCAGTGTTTTAATCATAATCCTCAAAGACTCTTCAGCCTTAGCGGGAGCTGTTGAACTCTTTAACTGATAATAAAAGGCATTGGGAAGTGCTGGATTTTGCCATTCTGCGCTCTTTATGGGACCAGAGCGTCGGATTAAGTGAAACACCATCACATCACTCTGCAGGAAGCGGGCTGGGAAAGAGAGTATGCGAGAATGAGTGGAATTTTCAATAACTGTAATGAAGAAGTTCTTCCAAGAGATATCGGCTTTATCGTTTACCATCCATCGTCCGCCTTGTCGATTCGCATGAGATCCTATCACTTCGACTGGCCTACGATTACGACCTTCACTCAGAAGACCGCCAGTGACAAGCTACTCTTCAGCATCACCAACTGATGAATCGGAACTGGATGCTTTCTACGATGACGTGGAGGAGGTCGTTCGCAACGAGTCCTTCTTTGAGCTTGTTGTGCAACGTTGACGCGAAAATTAGAGAGGAAATCAAGATTGGGAAGTTTGGATACGGCTTCGGAACGGAAACAAGTCATGTTGGGCTTCTTTCTGCGGCACAGCCTTTTTTGCTAAAACGCTGCAGAAAATATTTGAAAGTGCAGAAATGCAAAAGGAATTTCTGATGTCAATTTCGCTTCCAACTTCACATCACTCAAAGAGGCAGACTGCGACTTCTTCCTGTTATAAAATAGAATTTATGACGAACTTTTACAACAACCTCTTCCGCTTCCAATGTAGATGTTCGGTGTTCATTGCAGTTTGCTGCACATTTTGACCTCATTATGTTGAACATGTCCCATCTTCATAACGGGTGTTACGGTGCTCTAGTGGTCCATCACGGATAACGTCTTTTTTTACCTACAATTCCAGCTTTCTTCAGAACCCATGACTTTTGCGCCGTCATTTCTTATGAAAATCATGAAATAGCTAGCCGACATTCTCCGTCTCGCCGGGTTATGGCTTACTTGCTCACAGGGAATAGTATGCAATATATGACAGGAAATAACATGCTTACCTCTATTACGCAAAAGTAGCCTATGTTCTCCGCCGGGGTCGAAAGCACTGTGTGCAATTTTCACCTGAATTCTACGCGCAAAGAAATCTATAAAATACATTTATATCAACATACCTACAAACTTTGAGTTTTATGGTAAAAAGAAAAGTGCCACTTAATGACTTTGAAGGTCATAAGTTTAAACTGTTAGGTTATGAGTATTGCACATCCTTACATTCGATGCCAAAGTTTGCATCTCTTTCACATACAACTGTAGAGGTAGAGCAAGCAACACAAGGTCGAAAGCGTCGCTCCAAAATGTGGCTAAGTCCGCCTTTGCTGCTGACGTCCACACACTTGCTCATGCCTATTTGGGACATTGCCACTCATGCTACGCCCGCAGGCCAACAGCATTTGTTGTGCATGCCTTAAAGGCAGTGACTTGGCAGAATGAGGCCCATGGCAAGGCAATATCACAGAGTAGGAGCCCCCATAATGGAACTATGGGTCAAAGTGATGTTTCTCTTCCACTTCTAACTTCCGAAAATTCAACGCGAAAACATCGCTTCTATCTCCCCTCATCTCCGAGCCCGCCCATCTCGATTTCCCTTCCACATTCAGAGCGCCCATGCCGCACTTTGCGTCCACTCGTCCATGTTTGAAATTAGGTGGGCGGGGTCGGAGCGGAGGGGAGATGAGCGCTGCTCTCACGTTGCAATTTCGGGGGTAGAAGTAACAGGGGAAGATCTAACATTGGCCCATAGGTCCCATTATGGGGGTACCCTCCTAACTTGTGCCTTGCTTTCCCACGGGTCTCATTCTGCCGAGCCACTGCCTTTAAAGGCAGCGTCCCGGCAACGCCTCTTATGTTTTTGTCGTTTTAGGGCCTTCCCGTGGTCCTGATTACAGTTGTAAAGTTCAAATGTCCAAAGCCCTCAAAAAACCCAATTCCTCGCACCTTGTTTTGAGGGCGCGGACGAGTTTCGGATTGTTCATCCCTTCGGCTCGCCAGCAGGGAGGAGCTGCAACTGCATGGGTGCAGCTGCACTCTACGATCGATCGATGTGTGAGCTCACGTCCTCAGGGGGAGGTTTGTGATACGTATCACAGGCCCGTATCTCCTTTCAGAGACCACGTCAAAGGATCGCACCAACACAAATCGGATACTCATGGGGCCCGCTTTACAACTATGTGCTGGCCGTGACCTTTTTCAGTGAGATGTGTACCAGTAAATGCGCTGATTCCAAACGTTCCAATTCCCTGAAACACTGATTCCAAGTCTATGTTCATTAGCTGCTGTGCGACTCTCTAACGAAGTCATGGACTTTTTCATATAAATATCACGATAAGTAGGCAGTCAGAGTCGTCAGTATCAAGGTTTTTCACTCGGATATATCGTAGACAGTTTTCCTGAGCTTAACGTAAAGCTTTACTATATTTAAACGCTCTTTTGTAGTGTGTGAATGACCTTTTCAGCGATATTGGTGCATTCCGTTAGCGCAAACTTTGGCGGCAAGAAATGTTCAGACTGTTCAGACTCAGACATTTTTTGCTCCAAACAACATTCGCAACACGGCGTGCAGAAGCGTTTTGCAGATGACAACAAATCTGGAATCAGCTTCCAAAGCTTTTTACAACGGTATAGATTTCATTTGGAAAGGCCACTTCGACCTATGGTACTTTCCTTATAAGTTTTAGCCAGTTCTACCGAATGACTAGAGGTCCGCAACTAATACCAGGACAACAGTTGACCATGAACTTGTCTATGAAACTGTCAGGATGTTTTTGAACCGTTTTATAGATGCCGATCGTGTTCGGTATGGAACTAGCTTTCACAGTGTTGTTACTTGTTGCTTGCGTTTGAAAGTCATTTCCAGCCATTGCGTGTAGCACATACTCGAGCAAATGTTTATTGAGCTTGTTTGAGCTATGTTTTGGTTTGTGCCACTTTGCTACTGTGCTTGAAATTCCAAAGAGATGTGCTTGAAGACAGACAAATCCTCTTGCTGCTTTAGACTTTGTGCATACGAGATTAAGGCCTTGTAAAGACCGCCTAAAAGTTTTTTTTTGAAAATCCTAGCCAGGACAGTAAAAACTGTATTCTTACGGATTGTTACGTTCCTTTGAACTAACATATTATACACATCAAGCAAAGAGTCTTCGAATTGCTTATCATGGAAAGCGCAATAGACCATATCTCTCCCTGCTTTTGCAGCTGCAACAATTTGAATCAAACCTAAAAAAAACTTTTTTTACATGGTGTACGTTGACAAAAACGCCTGGTACTAACTTTTTAGTTCTTTATCTCCTCTCAACACACCACATCCCCAGCCTCCAGTTGCTATCGGTCGTGCGTCGCTCTTTTCTGACATGAAACCGGCATACGCCTAAGAGGACAAAATCATTCAAAACGGTACGGTGCGCACTTTTGAACCTTTTTGAGCTCTCTGTCGATATTTTCTCTCTCATATTGATGTGAACTATCGCTGAAGGAAAGAGCATCTATAGCGATTACGTCCGAAAACACTCGCCTGTAAAGACAAAGGATAATTATGACAATTACAGGTTATACAGGGTGTCCGTAAAGTATGTATACACTGTTTGATCGTTGATATCTCTTTTCCCAAAAAGTCTTTTGCCTTGCTTCAGGTACCATTTTGTAGAGCTGGCTTCAACTTAGATTTGCAGTATAGAACGAATCACCCATCGCTCTTCATTACTGTAGGATTACGGTAGAAACTTGAAACATATGGTGTCAATTTGGAAAAAGCTGCCGTTTCAAAATTTTCCAAAAAATGTTCAAACTTGTGTAATAGGGTTTTTATGGACGTTGAGTTCAATACTCAACCTTTTACAAGATTGCGAAGCTTTCTAAACGGTGCAACCGCACTTTTTAGGAACATTGAAAAAATGGCCGCTACCTCTTACCTGGCATAACTCTTCAATGAAGCATCACAATAATTTGGGAACTTTACAATTAGAATCAGCAGCTCTAATTAGCTTAGTGTAAAAGTTTTCAGGCTGTTTTGTCTCCTTTCTGAGGCAAAATATGGCCTTTCATGTCCCAAAACGCGCTTTCAACTTTCTACCGTAATCCTACAGTAGAGGAGAAAGATGGACGATTCGCTGAATACTGTAAATCTAAGTTGAAGCCAGCTCTACAAAATGGTACCTGAAGCAAGGCAAAAGACTTCTTGGGAAAAGAGATATTAACGATCAAACAGTGTATACATACTTTACGGACACCCTGTATTGATGATGATTGTGCTATGAGTGAGTGTTTGCTTACTATTTTGAAAAATTCTTTCGCTTCAACCCAAAAGTCAGACTCAAAAATGATACTACTGTCCAAAAAAATTTCAGGAGCTATAGCTTTTAGCTAAATGCAAAGAATATTCCCATCCTACACATAAAAAACTCATAATGAAGAAATTATAGCAGGTGAATGAACAGAAGCCATAAAAATCCAGTGTTGAGTATATTCTTCAGAAATCAATGCTGATGTACTTTTTTAAGAAAAGTTCAAAAGGGGCTAGCAGATTTACAACAGAATTCAATAATGACAATTTTTTAGCAGGTTTGTGTGTCCTGCTGCTTACTGCAATTACATGAGTGTGGCGGGTGAAGGACATTATGTCGTTCAAGACTTCGTCCGCGCGGATAACTGTCACGGGCTTCAATGTATGAGATGCATGTTTCCTACAGCGTGTAGTAGACATTTTGAAGTATACCAACCTAAAACTATCTCGTTCTTCACAATCGTAGCCATCATAAGGCTGCCATTCAACAGTGGAACCTAGAGCAGCAATCATGAATCAATCAAGTAATTCTTTGTTATGCCTCCGTTCGTGATTTTCAGAATAGCTTACCGTATCCGCTGTAGCCGCTGTAACGTTGTGTGCCGACGATGTGAATTGCTTCAAGGGGACCCATCTTCTCGCATAAAAGGCAGGACACGATCAGCTCTGGAGAAATTAGAAAGCGAATCTCCTCCTTCCCTATCTGGTCTATGGGAGTGGAGAGGACAAGGCCTCCAATCGTTTCATTGGCAAAATCTACTTGTGCTAATGCAACCACGTCTTCAATCGGTACCTCTGACTGTACCGCAAGGGAATGGAGCTAAAAGACATAAACTAGTGACGCACTGATAAAGATGTTAATCTCATTCAATCCCACTTGGCTACCTGGGATTTTTCCTCTTCCCATTTCGGTATCGCGTCTTCTTTCAGTACTGCGCGAGAAAATGTAACACAGCCAGTTGGCATCTTTTCCAACACTAGCGAAAAGTAATGCAGCAAAAACTGCAGCCTCACATGAGATAGATGATTAGCAGATTGAAAAATCCTAAAAAAAAAAGCGAATTCAGCCAATATCGGAATAGTGAAGGACTGAACGACTCACCCGGCGAAATTGATTTTATTGAAGGTGCTCGCTTCTTTCGGAAACGTGCAAAAAAATCCATTTGCCAGAAGGCATGCACACTGCTCTTGACTAAGCGTAACGGACCCCGTATGTTTGGCTAGCAGCAGAGGCAGAGGCTAAATACTTTGTGATTATTATTCAGTAAAAAATGCAGCACTTTGCAAGCGCTTGAAAAATTGGGCTCTGTATAGAGACATATAAATTCAGAACAATTTAAAAAGCAGGATGTGCTAAGTTGTTATATAACTTTGGTCCGGCTATGGAAAAATTCTATCCTTTATAGTTTTGTAATATCGCAGGGTATGATAGAGCAAAGCAAGCCAAGAGCATATAAGGTTCGCATTATGTGTGGCCAAATTTATATTAGTTTGAACCGAAAGTTCTGTCGCACCATTTTCAAAAATTCATAACTTCTGCTTTTTCCAACCGATTTGAATGTTTTTATTTTTGTATGAAATAGTGAGTCATGCTCTTTATAATGACATCTTGAAGGCTTACTAATGATCATCTGTTGCATAGATAGGAGCGATAGAAGCAGTCAAAATTCGAATTTTCTGTGTATTGTCATAAAAAATCGGAAACTGGAAACAAAAATCGGAACAGTCAGTATTGTAGGTTCTTTCACCAACTCATTCTAACGGTGCAAAGTCTGCGCTGATGGAGCGTCTCGATGAAAAGTTATGATTTTCGAGCAAGCAATACAAAAGGACGAATTTGATTTATTTTGGCATTTTTCAGGGAAATCGTAACTTTTCATAGAGACGCTCAATCGGCACAAAATTTGCACAGTTAGAAGGAGCTGGTGAAAGAACCTACAATACCGACTGCTCCGATTTTTGTTGCAAGTTTCCGATTTTCTATGACCCTCCACGAAAAAATCAAATTTTGAATGATTTTGGTTTTCAGCTTTAATCTCCTTTACCTGCTCTCGATAGCGAACGTTTCAAGTACTCATGCAAAGAGCATGAGTTCCTCTCTTGAGCAAAATTTAGATCTTGCAGATTCGTTGAGAATTTAACAAGTTATGAATTTTTGAAAATGGTGCGACAGAACTTTCGGTTCAACCTAATAATTAAGCCAAAAGTCTGACTGCGCTCAAGAGAACCCTACACTTTCCCTTGCTTACGCATGAACTCTGTATCAGAAAATTATGACAGTAGCTGTGTTTTTGTAGCTAGAATTCGAAGTACAAAGATAGGTTGCAAAAACAATGATGATGCCTTTTCGGGTTTTGTTATTTTCCGCAAATTAGTGCATATAAGGTTAAAAAATTTATGGTTCGTTTTTCCAAAGATTATGCAAACTAATTAAATATGTAGAAGGCCCAAAAATGCTTTGGATGGGACTAAGCACAAATTTGTCGCTGTCTACTTACGGGGAAAAAGCAATGAGTACATGAATGTTTGTAGTGGACAGTAATTGACGACGTGGTGCATTCGATTCTTAGCATCTATCAAGCATTCTATCAAGAATCTCTGTAGGATTTTGTAGAGCTTGCCTTACTTTTTCGAAGAACGAAAAAAAATCTTAGAGTGATATAAATCTTGCGGAACAGCCCATTACTGAATTCAACCATTATGCTACTTCCAACTGAAGATTGTTTACTAACTTATAAGGGAATGGTCAGAAGTCGAAATAGCTAATCCACAAAGGTGCATACCATTTGATGCAACATAGAAAATAACTCTAATCTGTCTTTCTGCTAAACGCCTTCAGGCTGGAAGTCATGAGCAATTTGATTGCGAGGAAAGAGTTCATACGTTCTGATACGTTTGCTTTTTTAGCTCATCTTAGGCGTGGACCACATAGACCTGTCTAGCAGTGTGTTTCTGTCGGTAATCAAGCCGGCGACCTTTATGTCCAAATTCGTACTTTGCGTACACGATTTTTTCGCATTGTAATGGCTTATGAGACCTTCAGCAGATATGAAATGTAGACTTGAAATCGGGTTTTAAACTGCATCCAAGGTATGCAGCTTGTAGGAAGTATCCACTTTGGCTTTTCACTCCGCAGGTAAGAAGCAATAGGTGAGGAAAAGCGAAATTTTCAAGATTTTCCAGGATTTTGTGATATCTGAGAATATTGGTTCTCAATGATTCTTACTGTATAGCGGTGGACTCAACAAGTTTTTTCCAATTTCCTATTTTTGAAATGACTATTTCAAAGAATTAACCATGTCAATTTCAAGTGCATAGCTAACCAACTCACTTCAGTGATCAGTGACTTTGCCTTGACAGCTAGCTTCGCTATTCCTGTCATGGTTTCGAGAACTTTTTGCTGTTCTGTGGCATTCTTGCTCTCCACATAATCTCGCAGACCATCAAAAGAAGGGACCCAGGAGGCATACTGTTTTATCGTATTCTGAAAGAAAAGAGAATATTCGCTGAAGTTGTACAGGTAATAGTAAACAATTTTGTAAACTTCGTGAAGGTCTTAGCTGATGAAGGAAATGAAGAAAAGTAATTATCTTTTTTGCACTTTTCACAAAATCTAAATGAAAATATGAAGTATTTCCTCACTATAACATCCTCGACACTTTTTGCACCATTACTGGCTAAGTCTTCAAGCGCTTTCTCTATAACCGCATAGCTAAAAAGGCTAATCTCGATATTTTCCATCGAAGTGGGGAAGAGGAGGCTTTTGGCAAACTCACCACTTCTGATTCTCGACGACGTTGTCCGTAGACCAGGGCAGTTTTGTAAATCCTTCTACTCCAAATTTCAAACCCGTATCTGTAGAGTCGGTAGTTTTTGGTTTCGGCGGTGAGCCTGAGAATAGGCTCAAAAATATTACCGAAAACCAGTGCACAATAAAAAGCAACTTTTGCTGATAGTTGAGACATTAAATGCGCAGTAATCTTCTCCTTCTTTGAGTGCATTCAGATCTGGTTGAAGTTCTAAACGATGTTGTCTACCACCTCATAGAAATGGAACCAAAGTTGCGAACCTGTATTATAGGCTGCGTTCATCACAATAGCTTCAAACCGTTCTTCATTGGAGGTCATTTCGGTTGAAAGAGTAAAATAGGCGCACAAGAGCAAGTAAGACCAAGCGAAGGTAAACGCCATATCAGATCTTCCTTTTCTTTGTAAGTATAAGCTCTTCCAAGGCGAAGGCGGTCGGCTCTACAGGGCTCCTAAATTGCAGAGTCGTTTGCACCAGCGGTCGCGCGACCGCGTCGCGCCCGGGCATCACTGGCGCGCCTCGATCGATGGCGCAGACGCCGGCAAAATGCACGGGCGCTACGCGGTCGCGCAACCGCTGGTGCAAACGACTCTGCAATTTAGGAGCCCTGTATGTGCAACTCGGCTGTGACACGACTGCGTCACAGCCGCGTCGCGCATCGAAGCGACCACCTTCGTCTTGGAAGTGCTTATACAGTAAGTATCGACCCGCTTTAGGCGGAAATTGGATTGGCGGGAGTCCGCCTCGCAATAGCTCGCGCCGTTTCGCAGCTACAGTATATCCTATCGTGCTGAGAACCCATGTCTGCGTCTCTTCAATCTCCTTAGTCTTTGCTTGGCAAAATGCCAGCGCTATGCGCTCGCAAAGCCTCCAGCGATGCGCATGCGCTGCTCCAGTAGGATGTCTCGCCTAATCCGGGACGAAACCGACTGTACATAGTGTGACAAAACGCATGACTGGTTCAGCAGTGAGTCAAAGTTCGCTAGGAGAGCAAGCATTGCTTTTCATGCAATTCTGGAATGGGGCGGTCGATGACTTATATTGCGTTAATAAAATGTTTGTCTTTGTATACTGTCAGGATAAGACTGGCCTTGTCTGACCTGAGCGTATCTCAGACATTCGCGGTTGTCACCCGCAGGTTAAAATGGTGTGATCTCATTGACCAACGGCGCGTCACACGAAATCGGTGTCGGGGCAAAATCAGGTCACCTGTGTTTGCAGCGGGGTGACCTGCGGGAGACACCATAATGCCCCGACAGGGCATTCTCCGGTCATTATCAGAGTGACCTGCGGGAGACACCATAATGCCCCGATCCTTAAAGCAGCGGTTCACCCTGAGGGGTACATATATAATGGTATATATATATATTAATATTAAGTATATAGTGGAACACACAAGTATAGAGTACATACTCTATACTGGTGTGTTTCACGTCTACCGCGCTGTCATCTTTCACTGTCCCTAACAAATCAAGCCATAGTATTTATTAAAAACTTCATGGTACAGAAAAATCTACATCAGCGCAAAATCAAATAAACTACATCGAGAGAACACTTGACAAAAAACAACTGGAATTGGACTAATGTGTGTCGTTCGCATCGGTTACTGCAATGTCGGCGTCCGTTTTTTTCGATGATGTTCAAGTCAGTGCTAACGTTAGATGTCCTGGGCCGGTTCTTCTGAAAAACATCAGTATCAGATGCGTAAACTTTTTGAGACGAAAGTTTTACCTTTGACGCCTTTGTCGCATTCTTGTGCAAATTGTAGAAGTTCTTTGTCCGGTAGGCCAAAAGCGTCCAATACAAACCCTGAATAAATTATTCGAATTGATGTACAAAATGACGGAACAACCTACTTATTAGGAAATCCACAGTGCTTTCCGGGAGATCCTTGAATGGTCATTTTCTTCCTTTTTTGCCAGTTTGCCTACATGCATACTTTTGAGTTCCTCTGCCGGTTCACAAGTCCAAAAAATTATGTGTAAGGCAAGAATTCGTTCAGCAGTGATCCCTTGCATTGACGAAATAGTGCCTAAGAAAATCAAAAACATGATGAAAATGCAGAAAATGATCATGTTTATGTGCGCAAGCCGATCTCTTCCGTTTTAAGATTTCAGTCAAATTCAGCTCCCAAAAATACGATGCCTTTCGTTAATTCATTTCATATTCAAAAACCTCAATCGGGCTGGGTTTTAAAAAGCAGACTTTCTTTTTTCGGTTATACAGACAAGAGCAATTGTGGGACTATGATTGAGCGAGTTAGAAAGCTGTATATCATTTTTTCCGTGTTTGAAAGATGGGTTTTGACAACTGCGATTTCTTCTTTTTGGTGTGGATTGTTGCCTCATCATGCCAAAATTCAAACAGCTTCTGATACTCGTTAATTTCGAAAAATTGCGATTTTCGGGTTACAGCGGCTGGTTAATTAAAATTTGAGTTAGATCACTTTTAAGTAAGGAACGAAGTCAGAAAGGACCACAATGGAACAAAAGAATGTGGAGAAGACGACTACCATCGAAACATGTATAAAATAGAGCAAAGAATGGATTTTTGGCAGCCCATCAAACTTCATGTGAGCCATATTTGAACAAGCAGGATTTCGCCTTCTAACTCGCCCATTCTTGATCCCACGAATTCTCTTTCTGGTCTATCTGCGAGAAAAAAGACCCCTCTTTCAAATACGGACCACAGACCTGCCAAAAAATGACCCAACGAGAGCCGTGGACGAAAGTCCGCAAAAAACCATTGCATGCATTGTGGAAATTTCTCTGAAGAGAATAAATTCTCTTATCAAGGCCGGAAGCCAGAGCCATAGCTGGTCATTTGACTAGCTATGGCTTTGCAGACGGGAATTCAAAGATCTGATGGGGTACGGTACCAAACGTGCATTTCACACCCAGATTTAGCTCTTTGTTTCCTGCATGAAAATAAATTTGAGTAAATTTTTTTACACAGCAGCAGTCCATATACGGCTGCAGCCGGTCTTACTTCTGTGAAACTGCGAAAACAAGCTATGGAAAAGCCCATTCTGCAGGAGAAATTTTCTTATAAAAACTCTTTACACTCTTATTTTTCGAACTATGACAATACTTCGGGTGCTAAACTGTTTTTTTTTTGCTGGAAAAGTATTGTGTCATAAGGATTTTCTCGTAAAATGACATTTCGCAAATTTTTGTTCTGCACGTGTCAGCTTGAAGCTACCCACAATAAGTAATGGATAGTATAATTTACATGTTTTGACAGATTTTAGCTAGCTAGCGACGCCTCAACGGTTTGTTGAACCCGACACAAGATTACGATATTTCAAGTTTGTTTAAGCTTGTAGTTGGCTTAAAACTTAGTCAAATCAGGCTTGTGGTTAACAATTTGAGTCTAAGCTCACAAAATTGCACTCCGCAAATTTGCTGAGTTGGAAGGAGTCCTGAAGTAACCTACTGAATTGAGAAGAAAATGCTTACCTTCGATCTACAACGCCAGCGCAGAGATTGCAAGTGAAGTTGCCATTTTGGACGCGCGATCTCATCTGAACTGACAAACCGTCAAATCGATGTCCTACGGAAACGGTGACCTCACTTTTATTGATGTGCTGGTAAAATTAAGGAAAAATAATAAGCGAAGTTGAATCAAAAGGCACCATTAAGTATGATTAAGATAGAGTAGGTCTGGTATAATGACAAGTTTATGTTATGAAAGAACACAAATGATTCCAAGGAGCGATTATAAGCGAGGTATAAGAAAGAATGAAAGCAAAAACATTGAAGAAAAAGGCACCAATCAACAAAAAGCAATCACCAAGAGAAGACGACTATTTCGCAACATCACTATCATACACGCATGCGGCGTGCTTTGGGGCAAAATCGCAGTAAAATCCGGTCAAAACTAAATTCATGTCTCCCGACGGTGCACCGGGTTTTGGTGCGATCAGCCATTTTGTGGGCGGTCCACCTGCGGGTGACAACGGCGAATGTCTGAGATAGCGGTATTACAAGGTTGAATAGAAGGAGGTTATAAATAGTTTATTATATATCATACATAAGATAAAAGGGAAGGGGAGCAGCGAGGCTGCAAGGAGTGGAGGAGACTGCCACGCCAGCTGTCGGCATGATCTTATATATGTGGCCGGGGCTTGGCACACTGGACAGTTAGTTTATGCTGGCATGGTTCATCTAGCTATACGATTACATATAGGCTATTCTTAGTATACGATTAGGCAAAGGCTACATCCTGATAATACCATCACTAATTTTTGAGCTACTCTGACACCTCAGATTTTCTGAAGAGAGATCTTTCTAGTTGTCATATATGAGGATGGCATGTGGTTGCGTGAGGAACAAGCAGCCATCCGCAAAAAAGTTTGCTGAGTGCACACTTTTTGGTTTATTTGATAACAACAATAGTGAATTTTACAACGGCGTCTAATCCTTGTCCTATGTATGAAATCGAAATTTGTTGGAATATGAGCATAAACAAATCAGTAACGTGAGAAATTATACAATCGATTATTTAGAGAGAACGCTCATGTGTTTGTTCAATGGCTTTGAACGTGAAGCATATGACAAAAAAACAGAGGTGGAATTGCCAGCGAGAAAAATGGAATTCCAAGGATGAGGACCACATTCGTCGGAAGATCCATACAACCCACGACACTTTCGCGCAGTAAGCAACTCTTTGGAATCTTGTGTATAAAGCTGAATGTCTGTTTATCTGTCTCTCTGTATGTCTGTCTGTATGTCTGTACGTATGTTCCGAATATAAAATTCCATTTCTGAACCGATCCGGACCAAACTTGGCACACATACACTTCGGGCCCCGGCGGGTGTCATAGACTTTTCGTCATCCGATCCATATCGATATTATCGATTTTTATTAATTTTTTTGCAGAGTTTACCTAACGGGGCTGGGAGTTGGCATAGGGGGTGATTGAGCGTGCTGATTACGAATACAATATTATTTTCTGGAATTATCCGCTACATTGATCGATTTCATCGATTTTTTGCAAAGTTTGAGCTACGGGGCTGGGAGTTGGCACACGGGGGTAAGTGGGCATGGGGATTCCGAATACAATATAAGTTTTCAGGATTACCGATTACTTTTATCGATTTTATCGATTTTTTTTGCAAAGTTTGAGCTACGGGGCTGGGAGTTTCCACAGGGGGTAATCGAGCATGGGGATTCCGAATACCATATTAGTTTTCAGGATTATCGATTACTTTTATCGATTTTATCGATTTTTTTGTAAAGTTTGAGCTACAGGGCTGGGAGTTGGCACAGGAGTAAGTGGGCATGCTGATTTCGAAAACAACACAGGGAACGGGAAATGAAGTGTAGAAGTGGGCACAGGGAAAGGCTGTACAGGGATAGGGATGGGACCTTTATTACAGGGTTTTCGCAGGGCCGGGCGGAGCCGGGTAAGCAAGCTGGTTATACTATCAGGTTGATTCTCGATTGATGTGCACGATTTCTATACTTCTTTCAAACGCAACAGGTTTCGAAGTAAAACAGTTTTTATTGGAAGGCTTTTGTAATGTCTGAATGTAATCATTTAGTTCCAGGTTTTTCGACTCGGGTATATTGGGGACAGTTTTCCTGAGCTTAACCCAAAGCTTTGTTTTATTTGGATGCGTTTTGTAGTGCGTGAATGGCCTCTCCAACGATCTTGGTGCATTATATAGTGCAAATTTTGAGCAGATGAAGACGGACATGGAATCAACGTATTAACATGCATCTAATGTTGTACATCCAAAAGGGCCACGGTCACCAAATACCCTTCCCTTATAAGCGACCAACTTCCTTGCAACTTTACACTGTGGAGTCGACCCGCTGGACATGAGAACGATAGTCATTTGCTGCGCAGGTAAAAATAGCAATCTCAACTTACGAAGGAGTACTTTCCATGCGGAATGAGTGTCACTCGTAATCAGCATCTCGAAACCCCTCCAGACCAAGTTTCAGCAAAATCCGAAGCAATCTGAAAGTTTCCTTTTTCTCCTCATACCGTAAAACTACAGTAGCCCTTGTACCAGCGATGAAATCTGGCAAAAATGGCTGCATTTGTCTCAAATTATCTTATAAATAAAGCTGAATGTCTGTTCGTATGTCTGCCTGTCTGTCTGTATGTCTGTACATATGTCCCGAGTAGAAAATTCCATTTCTGAACCGATCCGGACCAAACTTGACACACATACACTTCGGGGCTGGACGGGTGTCATAGACCACTCTTCGTTATCGATCGATATCGATTTTATCGATTTTTATTGATTTTTTTGCGGAGTCTACCTACGGGGCTGGGAGTTGGCACAGGGGGTAAGTGAGCATGGGGTTTCCGAATACAATATAAGTTTTCAGGATTATCGATTACTTTTATCGATTTTATCGATTTTTTTGCAAAGTTTGAGCTACGGGGCTGGGAGTTTCCACAAGGGGGTAATTGAGCGTGGGGATTCCGAATACCATATTAGTTTTCAGGATTATCGATTACTTTTATCGATTCTATCGATTTTTTGCGAAGTTTGAGCTACGGGGCTGGGAGTTGGCACAGGAGGGGGGGGGGGGGGTAATCGAGTATGTTGATTAATAAAACAGCGAGAATAGTGAATTGGCATGTAGGCGTGGGCACAGAGAAAGGTTGTGTTCGGATAGGGATGAGAGCTTTATCATAGCATTTTAACAGGGCCGGGCGCGGGTAAGCCAGCTAGTAGTTTTATAACACCCAGAGATGAAATGATTTTATTGAAGAAATGAGAAGGACAATAGTTATTCAAAGATTTGCACTCGTGTGCTAACCTAATACTTGACTCAGACAAAAAGCAATTCGAGATTGGGAAAACCCTCTGTTAACCGGGACTGGCAACGTAGAGAAAAACTGCAGAATGATTTTGGTATCGCATACTAGATAACATCTATCTTGAGACAGAATCAGCCTCTTTGCAGAGAATGTCTTGACAAGACTAAACTTATTCTAACCGGTTCCGTGTAGTATACAGGGTGTCCCAAAAGTAAGTATCTACACATTTTCAATCGCCAATATTTCTCTTCCCAATGGCTCTTTTTTTGCCAGTCAAGTACCATTCTGTAGAGAAGGCTTCAACTTAGATTTACAGTTTCGATCGAATCACTGATCTCTCTTCGTTACTGTAGGATTACGGTAAGAAATTCCAGCATGTGGAACCATTGTGAAATATGCCATCTAGCGAAAGTTTTTTTCAAAAAATCTGAAAAATCGTGTACTAGGGTTTTCGCGCGCGCTGATTCCACTAAACAACTTTTTACGAGTGTTTTCAGCTTTTTTTGACGGTGTAATCACATTTTTGACAAATACCAGAAATGCGGTTCTACGGTTTACTTGGGCTAACTTTGAAAAGAAGCATTACAGTAAAGTGGAATTTCCAAATTCAAAATGAGCGGCTTCCATTGTTATAGTATCAGAGTTTTTGGCTTGTTTGGTTTCTGTTCCGAGGCAGAATATGGCCTGCAATGGCTTAAAATCTTTCTACCGTAATCCTACAGTAATGAAGAGCGATCGATGATTCGCACGTTACTACAATCTAAATTGAAGCCTCCCCTACAGAACGGTGCTTGATTGGCGGAAAGAGACCAAATGGGAAGAGAGATATTGACGATTGAAAAGCGTGTACTTACTTTTGGGGACACCCTGTATAATTGTACAGGCAGATCATAAGTATAAACTTGTCAGTTATATAAGCTGTCTCGACAATATATCGGCGATCCATAGCACGCAAAGACTGCGGAATTATCGGCGTCTCTCTAATCGAGCGCTCTTCGTTTTTGTCACCATCTGCTGTTTCTACCATGCACGAACTATCTCGGCCGGACGCAATGGCGCCCAGTCTTTGCGTATAATGAATCGTGTATATGCAAAATGTGCTCTAGTTCCAGGTCCCGGTGACGTATTTTTTCAAACTACTTTTTTTACTTTATACATATGCACATCGGCGTGCTTTCAAATAATCAACAGAAGCAGCATTAAACAAGTAAAAAAGTAAACAAATGGACACAGGATAGGTTTGGCCGAGTCACTCATTTCGCCTAACACTTACTGAAAACGGTCATGATCATAAATTTTATACAACTTTCTGCATGTGAGAGATTTTTTTGCCAGTAGCGATGATGATTTGTGAGGTACAGTAACTTTTTTCTCAACGTGAGTCACCAACGTCTGAAGTTCAAAACTATCAACACGGCGAACAGGTCGGCTTATTAACATTCGTTCAACATCAATGGGATGCGCTTCGTCGAAAGAGGCGGTTGAATCGCGCCTTCACAATGATGGTAAGATTTTTCTTTTTAAGATTTTCGATAAATTTAGTAATTTCCATGCTCTTAATTATCTGACCCAATGTACGCTTATTACTTGCAAAAGTTATGGATCTTCGTGAATTTTCAAATTGAACTCAAATGCCAAATTGTCAAATTTTCATTTTTTCACAGTTTTTAATTGCTAAGAGCCGTATTTACATGTGCTGTTCCATCAACGCGAGAAAATTGCCAAGAAACATCGTTGTTAGTAAAGACCTGTTCTTTTCTGAAGGACTTTGTTTATGCAACTCCCACTCACATTCACCTCTTTCCATTATCACAGTCATAACATTTTTTTCGCTTTTGTGCCTTCAGTAACTGAGCTTCTTTTTTTCCAAATTTTTGTTCAGTCGGCAAAATCTCACAGTGTTTGCCAGGATGCTGGATACATTGTCAATCATCGCGTTTCGCCACTTTTCGTTTTTATTTAACGAGCGGCGTCAAAATCGATTGTGATTTTATCGAAGTGCTGCCGCTAAGGTGCCAGTTTATGAGTAACACATGGACAACCAGAGGACTTTACTAATATGTCAGAATCTATGAAAAATATTTTTAAGTACGCAAAGCTATAGCAAAGCTAATACTATAGCCACTTCCAGACTTTATTTTCGCACAGCTTTGATAAGGATTTGAGCTGATAAAGAGGCATCGATGCCATAAGCTCCATAATTTTGCAGTCTCCTTGAAATTTTTGTTATGAGTATAATTCATTCTCTGACTAAGCGACGTGAGCAGCTTTGCGTAATCTGATTAACAAGTTCATGAATAGTTCTAACGCGTTCTGGTCAATTATTATTGAGAATACATGAAAGAACGTGTCCGAGCCAGCGTGGTCTAACAAGCCTAAACATGTTCTTTCACGAATTTCTGGTAGAAAAACATAAGGCGTTGAAACATTCATGAACTCATTCATGAACTTGTTAATGAGTGTACACAAAGCGTGCTCACGTCTTACGGTTAGTCAGAGAATGAATGATACATTATTCAAGTATAGACGGGGTATTGTTGTATAGCATTACTAGTCAAAAAGATTCTAGCTTTTTTTTTGCTTTCGCCGCCAAACGTCTTTGCGGCACGGCAGTGTTTGGACCTTATCTGATATGCATAGCAGTGGCAAAAAAGGGGCCTGATATGGAAGTAAAGGGCGTTTTTACGCTGCAATAAAGGAAGCCTGAAATGTGGCTTACATTATTGGATTTCGATCAGCGAATCCAGTCATACGTCCGTTTATATCTGTTGTTTATAGCAAGTCCTATATTGAAACCTTAGAAACGATGGTGACGCATCTTACAACGCACAACGCATTTATCGCCTATAGTTTCTGTGTTTACACAACTATGACCTACCTCCTTTCATGTTTGTCAAATCCCCTGAAAGCTCAAGAGTCTAGCGGTCAGAGGCGTGAAATTGTTCAATCTATTGATTTGGCAGGAATTTGCGTAATTCAAACGAAATTCGGAAACTTTCCCTAAAGCCAATTTCACCACTTTGTTTTGTTAAAATAATAGAAGTCTCACGCTCTATGATATGTTCAAGCAACTTACCATAAGCTATCCAAAAGCGAAGCTTTCAGCGTTTTGAATCTTGCGATTTTGAGGTTGCTCGAAAAGTGCACAGGACCGCCAGCCACCCTCAAAAACTGTGAAGCTGTCTTATAAAGCATGGTTCCATAGGCTATCGGCAGACTTTGATCTCCCATGAAGCGAAAACAAAAAGAAATACTTAAAAATGTTATATTCTTCAGGAAAATACCACGCATTGCTGCATTCTTTAACAGAAACGTAGTTCAAGGCTAGAAACTGGACCTAGTGCTTCCTAAAACATTATTGTGTTTCTTGGATGTGATCAATGTTTTTGCTGAAAAAATGCAGTGATAAAGTAAATCTTCAAAATTTTTTCGGGAATGGCTAGCGGCACTCCGCGAATTTCTGACACCCTAAAGTCGCAAAATCTGAAACGTCATTTTTCTGTTGATGGCTAGCTTGGGAAAATTGCGATTGCGAAGAGAGCGAAAAACTTGTATAATTTTCAGGAAGTAAAATGATTTTAGGATTTTAGAGATCCTAAAAATTCGAAAATTGATTCAAGGATTTTAAAGATCCTCGAAATTGATTAGGCAAGGACTTTCATGTCAACCTAATAATTCTTGAGGTCAGTCCGGTGCAGCCGGTCTAACTGGCCCTGAAATAAGCAGTTGTATGTGTACTGCTCTATAGTGATTGCTTCCACAGCTAATCAATCAACAGGAGATGCCAATTATCATCAAATGAAATCAACATCGGCGTCCTTTCCTCTGCGGGCATCCCCTTCACCAGCGAAGGGGCAACTAACTACATGCAATGTTTTCCAATGACCTGTGGGGAAAAGCCGGTTATGCATTACTGCTTGTAATCCTCCTTCTGTTAGCAAATCACCGTCCCGTGGGATAGACGCTTTTGGCCTAGAGGGGAAGGTCGAACCTTGGGTGGGGGACATTAGGTCGCCGAAAAAGGGCGGTCCCCGCGGTCATTTGCGACAAATACGCACCCTTGTACATGCGCGGACATGCGTTCCTGCAGGGAATCCGCGCGGGACTCTTCCAAATTCGGCGACCTAATGTCCTCCACCCTCGAACCTTGGATCCCACCGGTCACTGCCGCCCTATATTAGGTCGTCCCGAAAATTCTTTCGCACCAAAAAAATTCATAACATCTACTCTTTCTGACTGATTTGACTGCCTTCATTTTTGTATGAAAGAGTAAGTCATGCTCTTACAATGACATCTTAGCTATCTACTAATGATCATCTTTTGCATAGATAGGAGCGGTGAAAAAAAATTAGTCAAAATTCGAATTTTCTGTGTAGAATCATAAGAAATCTGAAACTTGCATAAAAATCTGAGCTTTTGGTATTATAGGTTCTGTTACCTGCTCTTTCTAATTGTTCAAAGTTTGTGCTGATTGAGCATTTCTATGAAAAGTTACAATTTTCGAGCAAGCGATAAAAAAGGCAATTTTGATTTATTTTGGCATTTTTCTCAGATTTTTATTGCAAGTTTCAGATTTTTTATGACACTACACAGAAAATTCGAACTTTGACCAATTTTCTTCTACCGCTCCTATCTATGCAAAAGATGATCGTTAGTTAGCAACTAAGATGCCATTATAAAGCAACTAAGATGCCATTATAAAGAGCATGGCTTACTCTTTCACGCAAAAATAGAAGCATCAAATCGGTCGGAAAAAGTAGAAGTTATGAATTTCTTTATTTTGGTGCGAAAAAAAAGTTTCGAAACGACCTAATAATTAAACCACGTCCGTCAAAGCTTATAACTGGGTATGCGCAGTGTTGTAGTTTTGCTGTTATGTATGAATTTTATTCGAATTGTTGTTGTTTTTTATGACAGACAAAAAGGTGCGACTTTAATTACGACGAACAGCGAAAAGTGTGTTCGGCAATGAAGCAAGATCCGTGAGCAATCAGATCAACTTGGACCACAATTCTCGAACCTTTTCGAAAACTCTTATTGTTAGTGCTTCATCTTTTCTGTTAGTGGCCTGTATCAGAAAATTGCACCACGCGAGTGGCTGTCAATGTTGCTGTACCGGTTTCAATGACAATAAAAATGGTTTCTGGATAAGGAATGGGGAAACAGGGAGCGCAGCAGAGACTTGGGAACTACGCAGTAAATGTCTGAAGGCAAGAAACTTTTTACATCAGCATAGAACGGTTTCATGGAAGTAAATCTGAAAGTTTGCCGTACATCTGTAAAAGCTCTGCAAGGAATGCTCATTCCGTGGTTATTCATTACAAAATCTTGACACTTTACAAACATTTGAGCATATTTCGGAAACCGCCCGATGGTTCTAGAAATAAATAACTCCTCGATTAGTTCATGCCGGTTTATACACTATTAGTCTTGCGCGTCAATATTGGGAAAGATTTCTGTTTCTACTCTGAAACTTACGCCATCTATCATTTATAATAAATAGTAATCAGTGTTTGTGATAATAATAATGTCTTGAAAACTCCATTTCGTTTTTGTCCTCAGAAGAATGTTGTGTCGCTTCGGTACCGTCGGCGGAGCTCCTCAGTAAGAAAGGATGGCCATAGTTGAAAATAACTCATTTTTCGAAGATAAAACTGGTTTCGTAATTTTGTAACTCGAATATATCCTAAATAATTTTTATAATTGCTTTTTTAGCTTGGTTGTCTTGGTGTGAGGGATTTTCTATAAATCTTCTCAAAGTAATGGGTTATCTGGATTAGCACTATGGTGAAATGTGAATGCAAACACAAGCTCTACTTTTCTTCACTCTGTCAAATTTCACATAGGCTAAAATTGGGAGTGATCGAAGTGTTCTTTTGCTTTGGGAGTGATCGATGTGTTCTCTTGCTTAAATATGTCAGCAGGTAAAAATTTTGACATGCTGATAATTGATTTTCTTTGCAGAATTTTACCTATAAACTAGTTTCTGCTTCCTATTTTTCAGTGCGACTGCTGAACACTTTCTCATATTCATTGCCCTTTCTCAGCGTTCTTTCTGCAAATTTGCCACGCTTCGTTACCTGGCAACTTGCCAGGCTACCAGAAAATTGGAAGACTAATAGCGCTTTGCGGCGCAAAGCAAATGCACTAGTGCGGTTTTTCAAATCAGTTGCATGGACTGGTGTGATGTTTACAGCGCGTTGTTTACCATATCATTTCGTCGCCGGAGTGATCGGCGACCACTCCGGCGCCTCTCTTGCGCTAGTAGTTTTATGTTCAGCTCATTTTGATGCAAAAAAAAAACCGGAAAAGTGCTTTGGAATTAGCCAGTTTCAGTTTTATTCCGCATTATGACCTTCTTGACACCGCTCGGTCCAAACATTGTTGAGTCACTCCTTTACCAAGACTGTGTCAATACACACGTTACACAATTGCGCGTAAGTTTTTGCCATTGTTCGCGGGGCGCATTTCTTCCATGTCTTTTTTTGCAGAATTATTCCCCAATTTTGAGCATGAAGAGCATTCAACGAAGATTTCGTGTGTATGTATGGTGCATCCCAGAACTGTTCCCATATGAATCATCAACGTGGCTGTCTTTTGATCATTTTGACTTGTCAACTTCAAATAAGCGCCTTAAATTTGCTGGAATTAACATATTAAAACGATCGAAAGGCAGCCCCGTTGATGGTATGGTACACACATATGGGAACAATTCTGGGGGATACACGATATATTCTGAGTCAAATGACGTACTGCTTCTTGCGCATAAAGTGCGCATCCGGAATGCGAGGGCCTTGCGTGCGAATTTCCAAAACGAAGCCTTCAGCTAAAGCCACACGCGCGCGAACGAAGCTTCGCTTGGCGTTTGCGCGCAAAAGCGCGAGCGCGACGACGCCGACTGTATACTGTTGTCAGCCGGGCGCATTTTCTTAGTTAGTGCTTTTGCGGAATCATTCTTTTTGAGTATCAGAAGCCTTCAGTTTTCTCTAAGAATACTTACAAAACGGCAGTCGTGAGTAGTGCGTCATCCACGTTGGACCGCCACATACGCATTTCTGATCTGCTGGGGACTGGGGACTAGTTTTCGTATTGATTACCTGCTTCATTGAAAAGCCGCTATGGCTGCTTTTTTAGCTGTCTTCACATGTATTCATGTCTGTGTCTGTGTCTTTCCATATGATTCGGACGTATTCTACAACCTTGAAAAAGTTACGGAGGTATCTATGGCAACTGGAAGTTTTCAAACTAATAGTGGACAAGACGTCTTGTGCATTGTGTGGAATCAACCTCCAGTCATAGATTCCAGGATTAGCGTAGTTGTTTTATCTGTTCATTGCTTTCTTTCGCATCTGCGGTTGAAGAAATCTAATCATTGCTAAGTAATCCTTGCTGTCTGTTGAGATTATCAATGAACTGTTATTCCTACAGACACTCGCGCCCTTTTTGACGCGCCATCTTGACTTTCCGAACTGGAATGAGTCAGCAGCGTCTCGATACTTTTTCTCGAAAAATGTGAAAGTTTATTTGATCGATGAGGTTTCACATCGCCTAACTAATCGCTAATTCATGGACGACTATAAAGATGCGATACTGCGAAACAAACGACTTATCTGATAGAATCGCCAGCATATCTTAGTTTGTAAAGGTGCCTTTCAATTTTCTATCAAGGGAACCATGTTTAATCGAAGTGGCCTTTTTGAATGGATGTAAACCATTTGTAGAGCATAAAATGCTGATTTCAAATCTGCCTTCTTTATCTGCAGAACATTTATGTACAAGGAGTTATGAGCTTTGATTAGAGCAAAAACTAGGTACATAAGAGAAAAATTGCCGTAATATCTTTTCTAGCGCCTCAATGTAGCACTGATGATTATCAGAGCAACTTATCTAAAGAATACTTTCAGATAAAAAATTTTTTATTTGGTTGCGTTATTTAAGAGTTAGGAAGATTTTAGCAACTCATTTCACCCTAATTTCACATTCAAGTTTTTGCTCCAGTAATTTTTGCTCACAACACCTCGTCCATGGACGTCCCGCAGATAAGGAAAGCAGATTTGGAATCAGCGTTTTATGTCTTTGATGTGGTATACATTCCATCTTTAAAGGCCACTTCGACTAAAGAATATGGTTCCCCTTGTGAAATCTCAAACTCGAAAAGTAAAATAATTGTGCAAGCAGTACAGTTTCGACGTAATAGTAAAATGCGGTAACATTTGCGCGTAACAAGTGGCCACGCCAGTAATGCCAGCATTTTGCGCGCGCAATTGGTCGGCGTCGTAGGCGTAGCCATTTGTTCACGCGCAAATTTTTCCGCATTTCACCTTCAGTGCAAGCACACTATATTGAGCGGAAAATCTGCTCAACTATATATTGCGGGTGTGTTGTAAACAAGCCATTTGTTTGCCATTATACTACGCTTTGATTTTCACGCGCTCATGGAACACGCTAGATCATGTCATTCATGTAGTGGCCTGTTCGCGAAGCATGAGGATACTGACATGTTCATTCGTGCATAACATGTAGATATGACTATGTTCACTGTCATTATGCTTTTGCCATGTAAATCAGGGTAGTATGACGTGACCCGAGACGTGTAAAAACGCGCCGCGCGTATGCTAAGTTGTGCGTGGGTATGCCCTATTCGTGGAATGCTCTTTGAGCTTGGAATGTTTTGTGCTTCTTGCCTGTGAACAACGTTCGACATGAACGAATCACCGAGAAACGTCGAGTGTGTTTATCTTTGGACTTCGAAGGTGCGGTTTCGCGCGATTTTATGGGTCACTCTGTGTAAAAATACGTCCACGTCATTTGCGCCTATCAACAGTTGCTGAACTTTGAATAAACTAATTTCGCAACTGGATTTTATTGATTTTGAAGATTTATTTTTAATCTTTTCCCGGTGTCGAGGTATCGAAGTTCTTTCCAAGGAACTATGAGTAATTTCCCGTCTTTCGCAATGTGGTTCTCAATCTTTGCTTTTCAGTGTTATTCATCGGCGTATTATCAGTTTTTGTCATTGTTGAGGGCGTACGAAAGGCAGCTGTGGAGTCGTACTAATAAAAGAGCGTTTGAGAGCTAGCTTTATAGTCATCAAAGCATTCTTAACCCTTTTTTAAGTGCGTTATTTTTTTTGTCTCCTACCGTCTTGACTTTCATTTCTCATGTTTCCTCTGCAGAGTCTGCAATCATTGGGTCTCCCATGTTTTTTTTGTGGAAGTCATTGATAGCTGTAATCAATTTTCATCTTACCAGCGAAGCAATCTCTTATCGTTAGACAATCCCTCCTTCGCTGTGTCGCCAGAAAAAAGCTATATTTCCACTGTTTCGAATCAGAGTCCCTTTTCGTATCCTTTTTTCTTTTTCCTTTGCCGAATTGCACGCTGAGTATGCCGAATCGATACGTAACGTATTGAGGTGATGTTTACCAAGCGTTTAGTCATTCGCCATGCTCTTTCTTCTTTGTCGATCCATGGGCATTGCTGTATTTGTTTTGCTACCAGAATGGTAGAATACATTTTTTCCATACTCGTTTCCAGTTTGCCAGAAATAATAATCCCATTCAAGAATGATTCGATTTTGTTGCTTGTTAAGTGATATCCGCGTAAACAAACCGTGCGTTTTTTGCAGTTCCGATACCAATGTCTGAGCTTCTACAAGGAGTCAAACTGCAGAAAAAAGATGGTAGTATGCACAGTGCAGAAGATGTGCTGAAGGTACGTCCGCTTTTTTCGTTTGCTTTTCAATTGAACACCTTATTTCGATTATTATTGGAATGACGATGCTATGCCTTGCTTTGGTTTTTACTTGCTGTCGCTCTTTTTATTTCTTTGAATCTGTGTGTGAGATTTTTTTTGCACAAGAGCTGTATGTTCGATCACTACCCCGCTGGGTTAGAAAATTAGATGTTGCGAAGTGTTATAACAATATTTAATATGCTTTCCTTTTCCATTTTGTGTGGCTTAATGATTCTTAAAGAACGCGATATATTTCGTTTTGAACATGTGGAAGTTATGGCTTTCTGAGCATCAATTTCACACCATCCCTGAGTCATCAAAGATGATTTATCTGTTCTACCTTGGTGTTTTCTTTCGCGGTATTTTTGTGCATACTCCATAGAGTTCGCGAAGTTTGATTCATCAAACAGGACCAGTTTGCAAAACGATTTTTGATCGAATTACATAGACGGAACCTTGAGAGAGCAACGGCTGGGTTTGTACTGATCCGTAAGTTCCGGACAGTTCCAGCTCGGGCACAATTCGAGGCTGTGCTGGAACTGTTTCGGAATTTACGGGTCAGTATGGACCTAGCCGAAGATAAACGATACTATTTATCAGTTCAGCGCGCATTTTGAGCAGATAACCGAAAAGTGAATAATTGGAAGGTTGTAGCCATTTGAAAGCGTCTTTCACCCTAATCTAAAGTGCTTAGATTTTGATACAGTGCCACAGCGAGAACCCTAAAAACACTGCCTAGTCCCGCTGCAAAAACATTCGAAGCGAATAAATGCTCCAGAAAGTAGGTGATGCTAAGCTACAACCATCAACATGGGTGATCTTGATCTCAGACAATGGGTTCGAACTGGATTTCGGATACCTCGGAATGTCGAAGTGTTGTTCACAATAAAGGAGGATCTTCGGCATGGCTAGGTGTTATGAGCTAGTTTCGGACTGATTATGTTAAACCCTCCCACGCTGGTGTGAGTAGCGACCCCGGCAGCGTTCACCTTCTCTTGTAACTTTTTCACTTCGTACTTCATTTTATGCGGCAGACTTGGGTGACTACCTTCCCTCCTCTAAGCAGGTAGTATTTAAGGGTTATTTTTGCTTCCTTTTGTGTTCGAGTCATATATAGCAAGACAAAGTTTGCACATCTTTATTGACCGTGGTTGCTGGATTTATACCCTCGCTCACTTTCATATTCCAGGATAAAGTTGTCGGATTGTACTTCTCTGCACATTGGTGCCCGCCATGCCGTCAGTTCACTCCCGTTTTGAAGGCAAGTTTTCTTTTTTTAGAAAGGAATGAGTAAAGCAAAGTTGTTGTCCTGCGATCAATCTGTTATGCGAATAACTCGTTTTTGTAGGACTTCCACGGAGAGTTAGCAGATGATGGAGAATTTGAGATTGTTTTTGTGTCGTTCGATAGAAGCGAAGCCGACCTGAAGGCATACATGGAAGAAGCCCACGGCGATTGGTATTGCATTCCTTTTGGTTCACCAAAAATACAGTAAGCCGAAGAATAATTCTAAAGTTGTCACAGAGAAGTGGGAATTTCAGAGAACTTGCCACAAAGTACGGAGTAAGCGGAATCCCAGCCTTAATCATCATCAAAGCTGATGGCAAAGAAGTCACAAAGAATGGGAGAGGTGATGTTACGGTACGTTTTCGCATTGATTCTTTTTTATCAGTATAGTTTTTTATCACATTCCCTTAATCATTCAGAGATCCTCTACAATTGATGTTTTCAGAGCAAAAATCCCAAAGCTGCCCTGTCAGCATGGAAATCTGCTTAAAAACCTTTTCACTCAAAAATTGTCATTGTTGCTACATACTTCTATGTCTATGTCTGTTTTAATGCCATTTTCTATGTTGTAATGTAACTTATGATCAGTAAAGAGTCATTTCATTAGCAAGGAATGGCGAAGATTTTTTCACAGTCTATTCCAGTCATGATCAGGCATCATGGAAAACAAAGCAAGGTGCAAGCATTTAGATTTTACACAGCTTGTACTCAGTTCATTGACACCAAAAAAATTGAAAATTAATGAGCGTGCCACGCAGAAACTCGAATCGATCATCTTGCAAACTTTGCAGAGTTTAACATGAGGAACAATACCGTGCCGTTGTGCCGAAAAACTTCTTTTTAGGCGGTTCAGATAACATTTGTTTATCTCCAAAAGGTGGGGCTCGTCTATGAAGAAAAAGTTGTGCTGTAGAATAGACCTTCATTCCAGAAATTGATAAGACTACGAACACCAAGTAGAGTAGAGAATTCAAGAACGTTACATGCAGAACTCGTGGTGACCGCCTAACATCATCGTGTTGTCAGCAGTTTGGGATTTTTTCTAGGAAGGCACTTTGTATACATCTCCATCACCTAATTGGCATCAATTTCTCATCAATTGTGCCAGTGCAAAGAAGGACGATTATAGCTTGGAAAAAAAAAATCAAACTCGTGCCACTTATGGTCCCATCGTGTTACCAAAAATATTCATTTGAGTTCAGCTTTCATGATTAGTCTTTGTTGGGAAGGATGAGATTTTGTAAAATCTAAGTCGAAATCAGGGCCTCAACTCTTGCGTTTCCTTGTCCATCACCTTTTAGTTTTTTTATTAATCTTAATGATTTAAGCAGTTATTAACAGGTTGGCACCACTTTGAGAAACCCATCAAAGTGAAGCTGGTGCCAATTTTTGAAATATTGAAGTATTCAAAATAAAAAAGCTTATTTCTTTTGCAGATCTTAATGCCGTTTAGACTACTAATCCTACTAATCTTCTCCCCCCCCCTCCTCACCTTTCCACCATACTTCCCTTTCCCACACCTGTTTCCGCCAATGATCCCACGAGAATCAAAATAAACCATTAGGATGAGTAGCATAACAAAGTGAATAGTGTGATGTGAACGCTGAAAATGGGAGGAGAAATTGGTATCTAGTGGAAACGACCGTACACGTAGACAAAGACAGCTATAAGTCGAAGATTGCTACGAAACAGATGATGCTGGAATTGTGCGTTCACATATTGTTTCTCACGAAGGACATTTTCCTGAATTCGAACAGTTGAGAGAAGCATCATCAGAAATTAATTTTCCTATGGACAGAAAAGCATTGGTTGTTTTTTATGTGATCAAAACTCAATGTAAATCGAGCTCGTCTTTAAAATAGCAATATAATTGCAGTTGCTTATCGGTACTGGCTAGATATTACGCACTAGCTCTGTCTCAAAATTTCAAAGTTATCAATGGAAATTTGTAATTTTGGAAGACTAGATCTGCCGACCTTCATCGGTACTGTATTGGACTTGGTTATAAAGTTGAAGATAGTGAGATTTTGATGCTGTACAATAGCGATGTCCTTGATTAAGTAAATTGCTCCAGTTCCGCCTCAAAAGATATATTCTGAGGGTGAGAAAGTCGCTCCAGAGGATACAAGCGTTAGAGGTGGCTCTGCCCCAAAATTGGTCTACAGGGGCTTTTAAACTGACTAGAAGAGGATACTTGGTCGAAGGGAGTTTTCAAATGAAATACTCTCGGATAAAGCATGAGACGCTGATTTCAAATTTGCTTTCCTTACCTGCAAAGCGCTTCTGGGAGAGGATATGGGAATTTTTGAGGCAAAAATCCATGGGTTTGTCCTAGGTAAAAAGAAGTGTTGAGGTCTTCCAGCACTTGAAAGGCTAACGTAAGTTTGGAGAATGAAGATACTAAGTGCATAAAGCGCCATGGCAGTAATCGTGGCTCTATCTGAGCTCAATGACTAGAGTTCTAAATGATTTTATGTATTATCGTAGCTGCTCGTTGAAGTTGCTTGAAAAAATTACCACAACTTCCCTCCCAGAAGCATTTTGCAGACAATAAAAGCAGACTCGAAATCAGCGTTCCATGCTCTATAAAACAGCATACATCTCATATGGAAAGGTCACTTCGACCGAGTTTGCTTCCATTCGGAGTGTCATGCTTGGCGGTGGTTGATCCGCCTCGCTTGGGTCTGTCGCCGCGTTCGCCCTCCGTGGATCACATGTTGTTGAAATTACAAACAATCTGTAGTAACTTCAACTTGTTTGATACAAATCTGCCCTATAAAGGCGTTTCTGTATCATGCTTCCTACTACTGTATTTCTCCATGCTTGAGGCCTGGGAAATACCTATCCCTAGATATCCGCTCCGAGTCACGTTTGCGAACGCGGCCTTGGAGTGGCCCTCGCAAGGAGAGCTGCGCGATGGTGATATTCTAATTGAAAGCCCCTCTAAATGTAAAGGCTATTGCATGACAAAGGCGCAGAAGCAGTATAAATTGAGCGGGTGCGAATGCGGCGCGCGCGTATCCTCACCTTGTAGATCCTGCGCCTGATGCGCTCTGCGGCTAATAAAGCACTTTCGCGGCCAAAGGTATTGCGCCTTCGTCATGCAGCAGCCTATACCTAGAAGCGTCATAAATCCGCCCTTCATTACGTCAGATTTTCGACATTTTTACCTACTTTGAAGCCCACTTTTGAACGCTAACCATTAGATCACCCACACTGAAGGGCGAAGCCACCTTGACCACTTCTACCTTCTGGAGCAATTTTCTTATTTCGAAATCTATCTTCAGCAGCGAAACTTGGGCGATTACTTACAAGGAAATAGATGATGACCGTGGGCTTTTTAATCAAAAAAATAGATGAAAACAGCATTAAATGCATCTTGAAGCGCTGATTCCAAATCTGCTTTCGGTATGCTCTGTGCACTCCTTCTAAAGAAGTCATGAACAGTTCCTAACACAAAAACTTGCACTTTTTTAATGGTGGGATTCACCAATATCGTTGAAATGTTCACCTACGTATTACAAAAGACTGCGCAAATAAAATAAAGCCTTGAAGGCAGCGTCCCACCAGACTGAGGGTACCTGGTTCTGGTAGTAATGTACCTAATAGTAGACCCCCTAACTAAGCGACGACAGAAATTTCCAGCGCGAAAGGAGGTCTACGGAGTCTACAATCCCCCCCCTCACAAGTGGCCCGGATCTACGGTAGGCCGTACGAGTACGAGGTGCATGCAAGGTAGAGACGCAGAGTCGTTGCGGGACCCTACGCTCATGACTGTGTGCGCTATGCGTGCTCCGAAGCTTGCAGTTCGAAATCGCTAGGGCGGCGTCCGGGCCTACCGTAAGATTCGTGCCACTTTCGGAGCAAATTTCAGGCTTGGTAGACCCCCTTTTTCTCTCCAACTTCAATCATCGCTTCGGTAGGGGGTCTACTTCAAAACTGCCACAAAAACCCGGCACCCATCTTTTTGCCGGGACCTGTCTTTGAGTCAAGCTCAGGAGAACTGTCTCCGATACATCAGAGTTTAAAAATCCTGGATACTGACAAATCTCACTGCTTAGACCTTGTAAAAGTATTATAATTTGGAAAAAAGTCCATAATTTCGTTCAGAGGGCAACACAGCAGATAATGAACATGAATTTGGAATCAGCGTTTCAAGACGCGTTTACTGGTAAACATCTCACTGTAAGAGGCTACGGTCACCAAGTATCGTTTCCTTGTCAGTTACGGTTTTCGCTATCATACAGCATCATAATCTCAGCACCCTCAATTTGGGTAGGTGTTGCCTTTGAAATCATTTTGACCTTTCGCTACAGTACTTGGAGGGATTACCGTCACAATCTTTGTACTCTTACTAAGCGTATTTGGGGTGTAACAATACGTTTACTAAGGCTGGGAAGTGTGATACTAATGGTTGCCACGTGTGAATGAGCAGAAAAAAGGAAAGCATGACGCAAAGCTGCATATACTGGGCACAAATTGACTTGCAAAAAGTTACCGTAATCCTGGCTTAAGGGCCAGGCATACCTCACGGGATTTCAGTCGCGGCGCGATTTGGCAATATTCCAACTGTCCATAATTCACTGTAAGCATATTTTGAAGGTATAGAACATGGGGCATATCATCAATCCACGTAAGTTATACACCTATGTATGTGCAGTTTGCTAGTGTTGGATCTGAAGACTTCTGGCGAATTGCCAAGTGGCGTCGCGGCTGAAATCGCGTGAAGTATGCCCGGCCCTTTACTGTACCTGACAGTAAAGGGGATATAGACCAAGTATTCGAGTTTAATTTTTGGTGGATCATAAAAGCGTTGGGATGTGCTTACTGGTAAAGTTTCCGGCTGTGATGGTGTACCTCTAATTAGAGCTCATTTTAGGAAAAAATGAAGAAAAAATGAAACCGAATTTTTTGACAGTTTCTTTCCACTTGAAAACTAAGGTCCCTGTTGTTCAGCATAATGTTGATAATGTTCCTCCAAACTGCTGCCGCCGTACTTTGCCTCTGTTTTTCATGGAAACAATGGCCAGTTTCTAATAGAAACTGGAATTTTCCACATGTGTCAAAAGGGTTATGCAAACATTGTCACTCAGTCTCTTTTCATGTGACGCGAAACATCAGCTCGGCTCGGCGAGCTCTACGCGTCCAGTATTTTTTCATTCAAACTTTTCATAAAATTTTAAGGATTGGAGCCAAGAACTTTTTTCGAATTATTGATTTTCCGCATATGGTTTTTCAAAGCTCAGTAGACGGCTTTTATTGTGTACATAGTAGTTACACGTGACGTTGTTACTAGTTGTGTAGTTTCCATGGTAATCCCCAACGAAACCTAATTATCACAGCTTTTCAATTATGAAGCAGATCAGCTGTTTTGACGCTGACTTTTTATTTCTATACCAAAGCTAACCATCTTTGATGCTGATTCACGAGATTCTGCGATTCCTTCCCTTTTCTCAGAAGCAAAATTTGTCGATAATTTCATTGAACTTTTTACGAAAAGTTTGATTTTGATCAGGAGTGGGAGTTCTGCGGGGTGAATGGATTGAACAGCAAACTGCATTTTTTCCACACGACCAACTTTTTTTCCTTTTTCCATCATCACCAATTCTTTG